GCGCTAGGAATGCGCGCGCGTCTTACAAACACACGTGTTGTCCCACAAACGCACGTGTTCGCGTGTTCGCGTATGTTTTAACACTGCTGTCTTTGTGGGACCTAAGCAACAATATCCAAGGGGCGGAGCTTAGCGGAAAGGTCCATTACATATCACATAATCATGTCATATATAACATCATAATAATATCATATCGTATCATATTTCATAGGCATATCATATCATATCATATACAATTATATCATATCATATGATATATTATATCATATCGCATTATATTATATTCCATATCGTTCTATAAAATAGATAAATACTGTATTATAATATTTACCTGTATATTTTTTGTTCAATTTCATAAAGTTTATTTCCATAACACACACACACACACACAATATATATATATGAAATACAGTGAAATATATATAGCCTATACCGGTATATCTATGAATAATAATATATATCAATGCATAGGCTTATTTAGGCCTATATACAGACCAATAAAAATGTACATATATTATATATATATATATATTAAATTATACATAAATATAAAATTATCAACGACTTTATAAAGCACACAACAGAACTATACGACAGTCACAGCATTTTAAAATCTCCAAAAAATTAACTGAAGATCCGTGAATGATATAAATGTTTACTATCCAACAAAAAGAAATTGATTGGATCGCTATACAATACGCTGTTCAAAGAATAGGCTATATGCAATGTTTACTTTTGCCTTTCCTGGTAAATATGTGTTTATATAACAACTCTACCATTCTGGAAGCTCGTTAGTTCGAAGCACATGCTGTTTCCATTTGGATATATCACAGAAACAGATATTTTTCATAAAAAAAACTTTATTCTCCGAACGACGCATTAAAATCTTTTTATCAGACAATTGGTTAAAAATTCATAGCGTTTTTAACTGTATGGCATTGACGTCATAAGTAATTAAATTCTTAGGCACGCACTCTTCCTCTTCCCTCCTTTCTTTCTCTCGTCGACGCCTTAGATCATAATTCCATTAACTTTATTATATTCAGTATACTTGAGCGTATTCTTTTTTGCTTCGAAAATCTGCAGTAGGTGATTTAAGTATGAGAGTGCCATTTCCAGCAATGTAGAGGTGCCATGATCATATTTTCTTGCCTCAGCCCCAATCCATGGTGGGTCTGAAGTAGGTTGACCCTTGTGAAATTCTCTCCCTGGGGCCCTCTCTATTTCGAATTCCAGGATCCGCCACTGGCTTAGACTGTGGGGCACGAACTACCACAATAGACTTTGAAAAATCAATTATGATTATTATTATTAGGCCTATTATTATTATTATTTTTATTATTATTATTATTATTATTATTATTATTATTTATTATTATTATTATTATTATTATTATTATTATTTATTATTATTATTATTATTAGTTATGATGAGTGATCTCGATGACTGTAAATTGCTGCAGATTATTCAGTTGTACAATCGGAAGTCATTTCTGAGAACTTCAAACGCACATTAATGGAAGCAGTTTCATATTCTCTTTCGTTCAGTGTTATAATATTTTCTTTCTAAAAACTGCGCCATACCCCAAAGTGCATCGGACGATGATGTTTTAAAACATGTACCGGTACTGTTAATTATAGCGCATAAGGGAGTATGGGTTTATTATTTTCGGGCGTCCAAGGGGTTTTACCTACCAGCATCTATTGTTGAGGTGATAGGCATGCATGTAATTTATTGCGCCGCGTTTGTTCCGGGTGAATAAAAACGTTAAGAAGAAACCCGAACGTAATAAACCCACTCTTTTCCTGCATATTAACTGATATAACAGTACAGTAGCAGCTGCCGTGGTGACATGACCTCAAGCACGGATATATGCCAATAAATCTATCAATCGATCAATTTATTAAACGAAAAGTATATGGACGCTCTGTCGTTTTGTATTCTAGGTTATTAGAGAGATTACCGTAGTTTAGCTCAGTCAGCTGAACTAGCGCCTTTGCTCCCAGGCTCAATAGACCTTTCCGCTAAGCCCCGCCCCTTGGATATTGTTGCTAAGGTCCCACAAAGCGACAGTGTTAAAACATACGCGAACACGTGCGTTTGTGGCGCAGCACGTGGGTTGTGAGACGCGCGCGTATTCCTAGCGCTGTTTTGATTAGTCAGTTGTTAAGCTTGATTGACACTCCGGAAAGGTCTATTCCATTGATGCGTTGTGTTTCAATGGAGGGACTGTCGGATAAGGTCCCGTTTACATTATGTGTACTGGTAGGCCTACTGGTACTGGTGTGCAGGGCCGGAATAAAGGGTGGTGGGGCCTGGCGCTGTAATTGCAAGTGGGCCTAAATAAATACTGTGTGGCTAAAACATAAAATCAGATTTTCGGTGATTTTTCCTGGGGTTCGGGGACCTATTTTTCCCCATTAGGGTCTGTGGGCCTGGGGCTAGCGCCGCAAAATCCCCGACATTAATCCGGCCCTGCTGGCATATAAGCATTTTCTTTTGGTTGTAAAGCGCACGCCAAATCCCATAGGGGAAAACAGCATATGTAATGCAGCATTAAACATAAATAACCGGCGCCACAACTATTGTCAAAACAGAAATTACAAAAACACAACATGTACAACAGACAACAATTGAAAAAAAAAAATAATCAGAAGTAGGCAAACAAATTTCACGTTTTAAGATAATGGGATCAGAAATGTCCCGAAGTTCAGTTGGTAGATTAGTACGAGAAAGAACGCAGTAGGCCTAGGCCTACACTCTCTCTTGAAGCGAGTAAATGATTGCCTCCCAGCGTACTACCTAAATTTACCACCAGAAGCAGCATTCTATATATAAATAGGCCTAAGTCTGTACTTCTGTGAGATTGTTAGTGTGGTTTACATAAAAACAGAAGTCCAAATCAAAATTACTTTGACTTTGACAACTTTTATCGATGCATTCACTATTACCATAGAAAAACAACCGATTTTGCGACAGTGGTTTACGTTCCACAAACTTTTAGAAACTAGCCCCATAATAAATTTTCAGTTGACTGCGTCCCATTCATAGATTTCCGACGGTCTGGTGGATCATACATTTTTCCAGACACAAGGCGTATGTGAACTTTCTTGGACAGGTTTTATCTAGCAGATTTCTGTGCTGGTAATTCACTTGAATAACTGAGTACAAGTAACAAATTTTTGACTTTTTAGTTCTTTCTAGGATAGTTCTTATCTACCATTACACCATATCTCGTAAACTTACTTTTCATTTTTATCTTTAGCTTATGACCCATCCAATCATTCCTCCACCGGATCTACTTACAAGGTCAATTTCAAGACGATGGCAAAGTGTCTACTGACCCCAGAATGGGGCATTAGCCACAACCACACTATTGTTAGCATGAGCATGTTGGATATTGCTAAAATCTACTTGCTTCATATAGGCCTATATTATGTTTCGGAAAAAGGGAAACAGACGCAACAGTCCATACCCACCTCAGTCCCACCATCCTGGAGTTGAAACTATAAACTTTTAATGACGTCACCTCCGGTTGATGCCCAGAAATGTCACTAAAAAAATTCAAATGTTTTAATTTAACAATAAGTTTGAAGAGACGGTGCCACTTATTAGTTAGCGGAAAAGCAATTGTGTTTCTACTTTCTAAAACTGTTTCTACTATTTTGTTCTTAATTTGTTAAATTGAATCAAAAAGAAGGATAGGTCTACATTTTAACACCTATGAAAATGTCAGCGTACCTTCCTGATTTATGGGGAATTTTGGAACGCGTATTATAATTTACAGAACCATGGTTTAATCTGCGTCTGTCTTCCGTGTCTGTTGTCCGTAATGTCTTTCCTCGCGGACGTTTATCTTTTGTAAACTTGTACTGTATACACTGGTTTTATTAATCACGGATGGTCAACGGTCACGTCCCCCATGAGTTGTTTTAAAGACGGTGTTTCTTAAACATATAGTTAATTAAACGGACGTTAGCCTTCTGCATTTTAAATTGCATTTTTTTTTTTTAACAGAGAGATGATCTTTTTACACATAGGACTCCGGTCTTTTTTATTGACGTACACCCCCCACTTATCATTCGTTCCCCCATCAGTCCCACCCTCATTTTAATACTTCTAGATACGCCACTGTTTATGAAAACGAGAAATGGTACGGTAGTTAGGCTACCTACATCCGCCAATTGGCGAGATTATTTTATAATTATTCTAATCACTTCACTGAAGCTAATGAATTACTTATAACAATTATACAAAGTAAATAAATAAAAATCACTGTATTTTTAAATATTATTCTACATTTTTAGCTCATCAAAAATAGTAGGCCTATGTTTTGGAGAAATTTCAAGAAGGAAGTTTCTATATAAATTTAGAAGAAATGGATTTCAATTTGAGCTCGGGCATCGACCAATAGGAAACAGAAACATGCACTAGATGCGTGATATACCAACGTTAGTGCATGTTTTTTGTTTCCAAACGCGTCTACATACGCAATGACTATTTATGTCACTCTACCAGAAAGGTGACATTTATTTTTAAAAACAATTCCTAGCCCTGGTCACACAATCAAATTGTATGCGACAGGTATACGTGATTTGCCAATAATATGTAAGCATATTGGTGTCACATAACATCCATGAGCAAATCAAATGTATTCCTATATTCTCTCAAAAAACATTGATAGGTAGAGACAGCGATTTCTAAACGCGTATATAATCGTGATACGCAAATATGCCAAATCCTTTCATCTCTATCGCCGAATTTATAACTATTAAATATTCTATTACATTTTATTTGCATTCTTAGTTTGTTTTCAATGCAATTATGGTGGTTCTAAATCTGTTGAATATGCCTTGTGTATTTAGCGATTCAACGCTTAAATCCCTGTACAGACAAAAAAGAATGTGGCAAATTGACGCGATGACATAACATTATGACCATATAAGTACATCAACCGTTTTTAATCAAAGGTAATTTGATAGTGTGGATAGAGATTAATATTGACCTTAGCGACGGTTAATATACAGGTTTTTTTTCTTTGAAAACCTATAATGATAATATGATTTTGTTAACAAATATAAAACGTTAGTGTTATTTGTAGTTGAAAGCCTGGCCTCTCATAAGCAGTACTAGACCCTCTGGTTGGGCATAAAACAGTCATAGCTGGCCCATAGTTTTACAAATAATTTTTAATAGAATAGGCCTGAACAATTGTTGAATACGTTTAAGTTATGTGTTTATAATTATTCTCAACAAAGCCCTCTGGTGTCACGAGGAAATAGAGAGTACAATCAGAATTCACATGAGTAATAAAATAAATTAATTTCTTTTATCAACACCTGTGAATATAGCAGATTTTGGGGTTATCCCCTCTGACGAATATCGATTTTGTTTGAGCAGGGAGTTGTTATTTCTAAATAACAAAACAACTCCCTGGTTTAATGCTATCTGGTGCCATGGACGAGAAACAAATATTTGTTACTCATTATTGTAATCTTGTAATCGATTTATTAAGTTGTTATTTATCCTTCTAATCTATTGTATAAACAAAAAAACATTTTATAGGCCTACAATTAGTCGTTAAGATAACCAGTGCGTCGCCTTTCAGTCAGATAGGCCTATTTGCAGTGTCACCACTTCCTCGCGTCGGTAACAGAACATTTCCCCTAAAAATCCGGGTTCAGTAACGAAAAACCTTTACACTGTGGTTTCCCGCATCAGCAACCAAAACACTTCCATCAATGCCAATAGTTACGCTCTCAGGATGCGCTAAGTCATCAATGTCGTCATCTATCCGTTTTAATAACCGTCCAAACGGATCAAAAAGTTGCAAACTATGATTCTCGCCATCTGCTATCAAGATATTATTGTTACTATCAACAGCGACTCCTGTCGGTGACTTAAACCCGCCGTTGTCTTTACTGCGAGTTCCGATTGCGCGGCGGAAATGTCCTGTCGAATCAAATATCTGTATACGATGGTTAAGACTGTCGGACACAACCAGACGATCGTTCTTCGCAACGGCGATGTATTTCGGAGTCTGGAACGAGCCCTCACGGGCACCGGACCCGCCGAAGGTTCTGACGGCGACTCCGTGCACAGTGTACGAACGGATCAAATTGGCGTAGACGTCCACAACGTGAATTATACCATCGCTAGTCACAGCGATGCCACCGGGCATCTGAAGATCATCCCGCCCGATATGTCGCACAACGTTTCCGCTCAGTTCGCAAAGCATTACCTGCTTGTTATTCACATCCGAAACGAGTAACCGTTCCGATTGATCAGACGACAAATGCTTTGTGATGGCCACACAGCATGGCGAGAATTTCTTATCCAGTTGATCGAAAGAATATTTGTAGAGGAATTTCCCAACACTGGAAAATGCTTGGATTCGGTTTTTACAGTCAGATACAAGAATATTTCCCGACTGGCAGGCGACAATTCCCTGGGGCTTATAAAGTTGACCGTCTGTGTTCCCTTTCCTACCAAACTGATGGAAAAGCCCTGCACGCAAAGCGTCAGTAGAATCCTGCAGACGTGAGTCCAAAAAGTCCATTAATCCTACTACGAAAAAGCTCTCCGGCAATGCATGAACACCCCCGTGGGGAAGATTGGTTTCTTCCCTACACATTGGGCATTCTATCTTGTAATGTGCAGTTTTCGTGTTGATCCATTTCATGAGGCAGGGGGAACAAAAGGTGTGTTGACAAGGAAGCAACTTCGGTTTGTGAAATCTTGAGAAACACAGAGAGCAAGTGAGAAATTCCTCCCTCAAATCGTCAGCGAGGCTCTCTACAGTTGTCATGGTGTTTTCTGAAAAAAGAATCAAATAACTTTATTAATGTTCGCTTTGACGATTGATTGATTGATTGATGATTGATTAATGTACACGTCATCATTACCGACCGACATTCGCAACAAAACATTTCAAAACCTTACCGTATATTCGTGAGAAATAGGTTCGTCCGTCTCAACAAAAAAAAAAAAATATGGCCAAAGTGTACAAAGGAATGTACGAAAATAAAGGAGGAAAAATCAATAAACGCGGAGATTAGAAAAGTGGTGGTTTTAAAATTCAGGGTGTCTAAAAAGTGCTTAATCGTGCTCAAAGGTAGAGGAGTATGATTCGTCGTACGACCGCAGTGTGTGCTTGGCTTCATATTCACCTCATTTCTCATAGATAATTTTTTTTTTTTAAATCGATTGTTCTAGTTTTATTTAGGTAGTGTATATTGTAAATAGGCCTTCTCTTCTGTGTTAAAAAAGTTCGAAGAGAGTTGCCGCTAATAGAGGGCGTCAAACACAGTTGTAGTTTTTTGCATGCTGGATTTTTCTTGAGTGCCAATGAAACTTAACAGCTGACCAATTAAGGCCAGCTCAGACAGCGTCGGCCGACGCAGCCCGACGCGATTTGTTGTCGCGTCGGGTCTGTGTGAGTTGAACGCAGACGCGATGGTGTGCGTCGGGGGCAGTCGCGTAGTAGAATATTAAACGTGTTTAATATTTCTCACGACGGCTTAAGACTGTCCCCGACGATAAATCGGGTCGGGCTGCGTCGGCCGACGCTGTCTGAGTTGACCTTTAGGAACATTGCTACGATTACGCGCTTGTCCCATAAACATACATGTGTCCCACAAGCGCACGACGTTTACGTTTACGCTTCTGTTTGTGTGGGACCAGGCAACAATATTCAAGGAGCGGTGCTTAGCGGAAAATTTTCGATTCTCATGATCGAATAAATTTGTCTAGTGGAAAACGGCCTTAATGGTAAAAACACAGCTTTTTGTCATATAAAATTGAGTGTGGACAGACCTTAACAGTAGAGCAAACTCCCCTGTTTTCCGAAACCATTAAGGTAACGCCGCATTAAATGACAATGCTGTCCCAACATCGGACCTACTTTCTTAGATCAAGTCGTCCTCACAGAACCGCATCATCATTACCCTGTGAAATATCAGGGATAGTCCCAAATTTTAACCTGAGAACACAACAGAAGAGGAGGACATCAAATATGATACGATTTTGAATGTGTCTACGAGGAAGTTATGGCCCAAATGTATTATTTTAAATAGATCACGTCTGGTTCAATTATTGCCATGTTTCTGTAGTCCCGTAATGTTAGTTCTGGCTTCAGTTTAATAATAGCGGATTTTTTTTATTTTTTTTTATTTATTTATTTTTTTAAAAATAAAAACCAGTGGTAATTTGCTCAGACTCAGTGTTCTTATTTTTTGGCCAATTTCAGACATTTTCTTAACTTTTGTTCTTATTTTACATATTACCTTTTACATATTATCTTTATCAAAGAGAGAAAATTATTATTGACATTAGTATACTACTGAGAAATACAGTCACGCCGCAAATAAGGTACCGTACAGAGAAAAGTTTTACAGTAGTTTTACAGTATAAGTTTTTAAACAATTAATACTTCAATGTATGTTGCTAGCTTGATTTGTTAGTTTTTCTTTAAAAAAAAAAATAAAAAAAAAATAAAAAAAAAACCTCATTTGACATTTTATCTGAGCCTAAATTTGTTCTTACTTTTGTTTTTAATTTTTAAGCAATTTCAGCCTCAGTGTTGTAAAAAAATGTGTTCCTACTTTTAAAAAAAAAGGTATCCATGGTTCGGCTAAAACAATTATCTAAAGTTCAGCTTAAATGATAGATGGAAGTTAAAGTATATAGCCACGCTGGGTAAGGTGACGTCAATGAGTATTTGAAAAAAAAACAAAAAAAACCACAGAGCCTAAATTAGCGGACGACATTAAAATGATAAATGTTTAATTCATTAAGGATTACAGTATACAATCATCATGCTTCTGAGAAATCCACTACTGTATAGACTAAGTATACAGATATCTGGCAAAATTTTTGCCTGATATTTGTATACAGTACGGTATTTAATCTATACAGTAATGGATTTCTCAGAAACATGATGACTGTATATACTG